GGGCTCACATGCAATGTGTAAAAATTTGAATTTATATTTTTGTCATAAAATTTTTGAAAAAGGTTTAAATATTAAAAGCCCTCATTAATTTTGATTATAGTGGAGGAATAATATATTTTTTTAAAATAAATAAACGGTTGTAAAATAAAGAGTAAAAAATTTTCGATTTATGTGTAATACTATTTTATTGAAAATTGTGGGTTTGAAAATAGAAGAGAAAAAATTTTAATTTAATTTGATGAGATGTAATGAGGGCCAAACGAGGGCTAAGGGGAAAAAAGAAATTTTCAATAATTAATCAAATTAGTCCCTCTTTGATAGAGATTTTATGAGTCTTGTGTAAAAAGTAAATTTTTTAGAGAAATGTGTTGTTAAAAATAGGGTTAAATTATAGATTCACGTGCAAATTTATTTTATTAGGAGAATGTAAATCGAACAAGATCAAAAAAATGAATTTTAAAAAATAAAAGCCAGACATGGACTTAATGTACAAAAATGATGTAGCAATAGTTTAGGTGACATATATATTCAAGTGAAAGTAGAATTAACTGACTCATTTAATTATACTTTACATTTCAAAATGTGTTTGAATTGCATGAAAAATGTTTCATAGAAAAAAATTATTTCCTTATTTTGAGGAAAACAAAAACCTAAATCGTCCAAATACAATGTTTTCCTCAAAAACAAATAAAATTATGCATATTTTCAAAGGTTGAAAATTATTTTTAATAAAAAATTGACAATTAAACAAGTCAAAAAGTAAGCATTCCAGTGGAAAATGTCATTTTCCAATCAAACATACCCTTAATATCATATAGGCTGGTATTGTAGCACCAATGATACTACATAACATTATTGTTTCGATAAATTAGTAATACTCTTGAAATTGTGACATTTGTATTACTCATTCAGATTTGGAGACATTTTTCATATCGCACTAGCTCAATCTACAAGTTATTATGGAAATCTTCCTACGCGACGACAACAATGTATTATTTTTCTATTTTCGCTCTTAGCCAGGCAAAGTCCTAGACATTATTTAAAAAAATAATTTTAAAATAAAAAACATATTTTTGGTACTATCTAGTCTGATCTAAAATTATGGACGGAATACGTCACTATTAAATTTATCATCATTAAAGGCAAATAGAAAGTTTATTCGTTATAACCTCTAATGATAAATATTTTGATTTTGCAAACAAACCTAGCTCGAGAAAGGGTAGGCTTGTTACATATGGAACTTATAAGTGGATTGGACGGGACATGTATAAAAGGTAAACCCATTGGGCCGACTATGAATTGGGCCACTATTATATATGGCCCACAATAGGATTTGATGTTCAAGTTAAAGCCTAACCCAAAATTTGTCAATTTGATGCTCAAGGTTTATCCTAATGGAAAAATACATAATTATCATAATTTTAAGATATACTTTAAAATTTAAGAAACTTGTTGATTTCTTTCAAAAATCAGGTAGTACCAATTAAATACGTAATTAAAAAGGTTAAGGTTACAATTACACGTAATTTATGATTACAATTACGTATTAGTTAAAAATCATGTAACGGTCACAACGACACAAATGGAAGCACAATTGCAAATTTATTCATAAATCACACATGTCAAGTCCAAATTTGTAATTGGCAATTATCGTATTCAAAACCACGAGTTATTGAGTTGTAATTAAAATTAAGAGGGTGTTTGACACTCATTTTTAAGGACAAATGAATTTTAGAACAGTAGATTGATGGAGAATGTGTGGATAAAAAGTTTTTGATTTATGTGTAATATTGTTTTAATAAAGACTGTGTGGTTAAAAAGAAGAGAGAAAAAACACATTTTAAAAAAAATGAGAATCAAACAGGGCCTAAAATAATTGTGAGTTGGTAGCATAGTCTTTGAGGGAATCAAATATAGACAAAGGAGAAAAAGTCGGCACAAAACCATTCACTGGCCGCACATTAAGCGCCGAAGCGCTCAAAACACAAATGCAGCCGCTCGCCTAGTGCTCAAGCAGTTTATGCATTCGGGAAAATTATGTTCGCAATTTTCAATTTGTTTTCCAATTCTATTCAACTTCAAACTCTTCATATTATAAATATCAAGATTGAAACATTATTGAATCAATTGCACAATCTATCACGAAATGGCAACTTCGCATCGACTTTAGGATGTCCAATCGCAGTTGGAGCAACAAGATTTGTATAGACTACTCGTAGAAAATCCCCATTGTGCCTCCATATCCTACGAAATCTTCACGTGCCGCAATTACTCCATCGTGGCCGAATTCTTTCCATAGTGTCGTGGACATGGATTTGAGGGCGAGTGATGATGGTGAAGTGGGAATTGTGCTTTGGAAAATCATGGTAGATGATAGGTTGGGTGATGTGAGGTGGGTGGGGTGGGATAGGGTAAGGGTGTCCGCCAAGCGATGGACGACAGTGGCATCAGTTGGCTTCAAAGGTGGTGTGGGTCTAAGAGATTGGGAGGTCGATTTAGGAAGAATTCGAGTAGGGATAGGGTGTGAGGTATGTAGGTAGGGATATGGAGCACGTTGGATGGGGAGTGGCATAGGTATACCTAATTTTTGGGAAAAAAAAAATTATTAAAATTTTTTACCTGATTATTGAAATGTGAAATTAAAAAAGTACGCTTCGTTTGTAATTTCCCCGTATCGCCTTAGACCGAAATAAGTCACTTTACTCAATGATATCTGTTGGGGATCCTAGGAGTTCAATCAACCATAAATATCAATCAATAGAAGAAATTCTAAGGCAAAACAATGAAAAAGCTTGGAAGGAGACAACCGTGTTTGGCCGAATTTTCTGCAGTTTTCTTTCCTCGTTTCAGCAGCTTCTTCTTCTCCTTATGGGTGTTTTTCAGGCTCAGGAACAGCCCTCCATGACTTGCAAATCACTTTCCAAGAGAGAGGGGGAAAACCGATAAAGAACCACCACCTTCTTGCTGAAAAACCGAGAGCTCCACTAGAAATGGCAGAGAGAGTCTACATAAGAAGGGGAAGGAAGGAAAGACCCATGCCTCTACCAAAAAACGTGGGAAGACCTTATTGTGTCAACATCAATACCATCAAGTCACAACATCTCCCCCAAGATTAAATCTCGACCATCGATCTTCATCCAATGGTCCACAAAAACTGAATAGATGGTGTTAAGAGAACCATATTCTCACATTCTTCACCTTGGTTCTCATAACACTCTCTCTTGGTTGCGAATTTGCACATGGAAGAACTGTTCATCATCATCGCCCACTACCTGCAAGAAAAAATTAACCAGTGTCAATATGTAATAAAGATAAGCACAATTTAAATTTACCTGCAGGTAGAATTTTTGTTCCCATATCAGAGGGATTCCTATCAGTGTGAATTTTAACAATATTAACTTCACCTTAAGACAGTTTCTCACGAATAAAATGATACTTTACCTCAATATGTTTAGTTCTTTCATGGTAAACAGGATTTTTACAAAGCAATAAAGCACTTTGACTATCAGTAAACATAACAGGTGTATCATGCATGAAGTTCAATTCCTTTAAAATTCCTTTTAACCAAGTACATTCTTTAACCGCCTCAGTTTTGGCAACATACTCTGCCTCAGTACTTGACAAAGTAACTAAAGGCTGCAGCTGTGACTTCCATGTTATACAATTGTCACCTAGTGTAAAAAAGTACGCTGTGGTAGACTTTCTGCTATCCTTGTCACCAGCAAAATCAGAGTCTACATACCCTTTTAGAGCAAGTTTTTCAGATCTCTTTTCATAAACTAGACCCAGTTCTAACATACCAACAATGTACCTTAACAACCATTTTAAACCTGCCCAATGGGGCTTTCCTGGGTTTGACATAAATCTGCTCAAAAAACTTATAGCATATGCTAAGTCAGGCCTGGTTGTTATCATAGAGAACATAACGGAACCTATAGCATTAGCATAGGGTATGTTCCTCATTTCTCTAAATTCCTCCTCAGTCTTAGGAGATTGTGCACTGGAAAGATTCATGTGAGCTGCTAAGGGAACGTTCACAGATTTTGATCCATTCATACCAAATTTGGTTATGACTTTGTTTAGATAGGCTTCTTGGGAAATGACTAGTCTATTTTCAACCCTATCTCTCTTTATAAACATTCCCAAAATCTTCTTAGCACTCCCAAAATCTTTCATATCAAATTCTGATTTTAAAAGGTTCTTCATCTTAGTGATTTCAGTCTTACTTGAACTTGCTAGAAGCATGTCATCTACATACAGCAACAAGTAGACCTCACAGCCCTCCTTACTATCATTATAGTACAGGCATGCATCATGTTCACTCCTTTTAAAACCTATCTTCAGTACATAGGTATCGAACCTTATGTACCACTGTCTAGGACTTTGTTTAAGCCCATACAGAGATTTTTCTAATTTGCACACACAGTTTGTTTTACCTTTCACCTCAAAACCTTGAGACTGACTCATGTAAATATCCTCTTCCAATTCCCCATGTAGAAAAGCAGTCTTGACATCTAGTTGTTCCAGTTCCCAGTTGTACTAAACAACCAATGCAAGAACCAGTTTGATTGTTTTGTACTTTATCACAGGAGAGAATATCTCATTGTAATCAACCCCCTCCTTTTGAGTGAACCCTTTCGTCACTAACCTGGCCTTATACCTAGGAGGATCACTAGGATTATTTCCTTCTTTCAATTTGTAAATCCACTTACATTGAACTATCCTATGATCCTTAGGTTTGTTAACTCTTCCAAGTTTTATTCTCCATTAGAGATTCCATTTCTTCCCTCATAGCTTTTAGCCAATTTTCAGAACATTTTCCATTAACAGCTTCTTCATAACTAGCAGGTTCTATCTGTTCAAGGGCTTCACCTGAAACCAAGGCAAAATCAGTCAAGTTTAGGGATTCATATCTAGGATTTGGCCTCATTTGCCTCCTCCCCCGATCCCTAGTAAGTTGATAATCTTGATTAGGTGGCTGATCATTAAAATGTTCAACTTCAACTGGTTCAATGTTATCTTGAAGTTCAGTCACCTCTTCAGGTTCAGGTTCAGGTTCAATTTCAATTTCATTTTCATTTTCATGATGTATAGGGTCATTTTCGTCATTCCCAGGTGTAGGTGAATTTAGCCTAGTCAGCTTCACCTCAGTTTGAATACTCTTCTCAGTTTCAGATTTGTTAGTTTCTTCGATTTTCTGTTTTAGACATGGCATCTCAGATTCATTAAAGACTACATTCCTGCTGTTAATGATCTTAATGCCTTGGACCCCTAAAACCCATAACCTATAACCCTTCATACCCTCGGGATATCCTAACATCACACACTTGACAGCCCTCGGCTCAAGTTTCCTTTCAGATTGATGGTGTGCATATGCAGCACATCCAAACACCCTCAAGTGTTCTAGATTTGGAGGCTCTCCCGTTCACAACTCCTGTGGGGCCTTAAATCCTATAATGCTGGACGGAGACCTATTAATCAGATAAGCTGCAGTACTTGCAACTTCAGCCCAAAAACCTTTCGCAAGGCTAGAGCTAATCAACATACACCTAACTTTGTTCATTATGGTCCTGTTCATTCTTTCAGCGACCCCATTTTGTTCAGGTGTGTATTTAACAGTTCTGTCTCTTGTTATACCTTTCTGCTTACAGAAGTTGTCAAATTCGCTATTACATAATTTAAGCCCATTATCAGTTCTTAACGTTTTAAGTTTCTTGTCTAACTGATTCTCAACAGACTTTAACCAAATCCTGAATTTTCCAAAAGTTTCCGACTTAACTTTCAAAGGATAAATCCAAACCTTTCTTAAGTAGTCATCCACTAAGGACAAGAAGTACTTGCTCCCACCAAATGTGGAGTGCTTTTTCGGGCCCCATAGATCAGCATGGACATAGTCCAATGGTCTGCTGGTCCTATGAGAGCTAGTTTCAAAGCTCACCTTATGAGACTTACCCAAAACACAAGTTTCACAGAATTCCATAGTTTCAATGTCATCTTTTCCAAGTAATTTCTGATTACTTAAAGATTTTAGCCCTTTAAACCCAATGTGACCCATTCTGTTATGCCAAAGTTCAGTTTTGTCTTTACTTACAGCAAGAAGGCTAGAATTAAATGGTATTTCAGTTCTACCCTCAAGATAGTACAGTCCATTCCTCTTAGGCCCTTTCATAACTACAAGAGAGCCCCTCATAATTTTCAAAATTTTGTTACCAGACTTGAAGGTATATCCCTCATCTTCCAGAGAACCTAAGGAAATGAGGTTCCTCTTTAAATTTGGGACATATCTAACATTTCTGAGCTGCATGACGGCCCCATCGTACATCCTGATGGCTATGTCACCAACTCCAATCACATTTTGAGAATTATTGTCTCCCATGTAGACCTTCCTAGGTTCAGTCTCCCTATAGTTATAAAACCAAGACCTATCAGGGCACATATGGAAAGTGTACCCTGTGTCAAGAATCCAATTTTTGTCAAATTCTTCTTCAGACACATTCATGACATGCAAACTATTAAATTCAGAAGCAATAGCAGCATTATCAACATCAGAATTATTCGGGTCTTTTTGTTTCCTTTTCCAGTCAAAGCAGTCTTTCTTGAAATGTCCTAACTTTCCACAGTGATAACATTTCTTACCACTTTTATCTTTAGATTTGGATCTCATTTTAGATTTTCCTCTCCCCTTCTTGTTATGGAAGTTAAATTCTTTCTTTTCAAATCTTCCCCTAACAAATAGACTCTCTTCACTAGAATGAATTCCTTTCTCTCTTTTTAATTCAAGTTCTCTTGATTTTAAAGTATCAGAAACAATAGCTTGAGTGAGAGTGTCCCTACCATATTTTATGGCATTTTTCATTTCTCTGTAAGATTTGGGCAAAGAGTTTAGCAATATGACAGCTAAATCCTCATCATCAAATGTTTTATCATTATGAGCTAGACTCTTAACAATTATGCTAAAGTCACTCAAATTCCCCTCGACATCCTTCCCCGGGTCCATCTTAAAACTAAACAACTTCTCCAACATGTATATTTTGTTAGGTAAAGTTTTAGTTAAGAACAGGGCATCTAAAGCAATCCACAAAGCTCTAGCAGTTTTAGCACTATCAACTTGTCTCACAATATTGTCAGATAGATGCAAAATTATATAACTGTAAGCAATTTCATTCATGTCTTCAATTTCAGTTGTTTTAGCTTTTAACTCATCAGAAAATGTAGCGGGATCATCAAGAGCTTTAGCAACTCTCTGTTGGACCAAAATGGCCCTCATTTTCTGTTTCCATATCGAGTAATCCCCCTTTCCATCGAATTGCG